TTTCTTATATAAAGGGATGTAGTATTTGCATATAACCTGTACACATCCCCTTGTGTATGATTTGTACTTTATTTTTTATTTTTTTTATTTTTCTTTTTCCAGTACCAGGAATCAAACTCATGATGTCACGCTTGCCAGGCAGGCACTGTGCCTCTGAGCTAAATCCCTATTCCCTGATTTTTACTTTAAATTGTCTTTTGTTGCTTATAGCTACTGCAGTGTAAATGTTATAAAAATAATTTTAGTACTATAATTTGGGGAAATAACAAGAAAAAATTACAGTACAGTTTTTTCCTGAATATTTTTGACTCATGGATGGTTGAATCCATGGATGTAGAACCCAAACATACTGAAGGCTGACTGTTTATTGCAGGTTTTTATCAGATCCCGTTTCTCTGTATCTTTCAAACTGTCACTGTTTTTTTTTTTTTGGCTATTCAAATAGGTATAGAGTGATATCTCATTGTGGTCTTAATTTGTATTTTTCTAATGGCTAATGATATCCAGCATCTTTTTATGTGCTTCGTTGCCATGTGCCTATCTTATTTGTGTTTTTAGGTCACTTTATAATTAATTTTTTTGATTACTATTATTTTACTGTAAGTTTTGAGAGGTCATTATATTGTCTAGGTACTCGTCCTTTGTCAGATAAATGGTTTAGAAACATTTTTTTTCAATCTGTAGCTGGTGTTTTTGTGTTCTTAGTGTCTTTTGCACAGCAGAAGTTTTAAATTTTGGTGAAATACTCATTTTGTCAAATTTTTTCTTTTATGAATTATGCTTTTGATATCACATTTAAGAACACTTCACCCAACCTAGGTCCTGAAGATTTTCTTGCTTCCAAAAGTTTTACAGTTTTAATTTTTACATTTAACTCTGATCCCATGGGTAATTTTTTATGTGAAGTGTGAGGTGTAGGTTGAGGTTTATTTGTTTGTGTGAATTTGTTGTAGTTACCATTTTGATTGAATTGCTTTTGCATTTTGTTAATGAGTTGACTCCATTTGTGTGAGAATTCTAATTTATTTTACTTTTTTGTGTTTCTTTTCTGCTATTACTACATGATCTAGACTACTGTTGATATAAGTAAGTCATAAGATCTGGGAGAGAACTCCTGCTTCATTCTTTTTTGAAGTAGGAGTAGTGTTAGTCTCATATTTTTATTCTTTTCAAAATTGTTTTTACAGATGGGGAAGATAGCTCAGCAGCACAACATCTGCCTGGCAAGTGCAAGGTCCTGATTTTGATTCTCAGTACCAAAAGAAAAAAGTTACAAAATTGTTTTTACTATTCTATATCAGTTTTATAATACTTCCTACAAAAAATTTTCAGGGGGCTGGGGATTTAGCTCAGCGGCAAAGCGCCTGCCTGGCAAGCGCAAGGTCGTGAGTTCGGTTCCCGGTACCGGAAAAAAAACAAACAAACAAAAAAAAAAAAAAAAAAAAAAAAAAATTTTCAGGATTTTGATGATAGTTACATTAAACCCATCTATCAATTTGGAGACTTTTGAAATCTTTATTATATTGAGTCCTCCAACATGGCTATGTCTCTTCCATTTATTTATTTAGATCTTCTTTGATATTTTCATCAACATTTTATAGTTTTTAGTATAGAGGTACAATATGTGTTTTGTTAGGTTTATACTTGTTTTCATTGTTTGTTTTGCAGTTGCAGTGGGATTATATTTTAAATTTAACTCCACATACTTATTCATAATGTATACAAATGAGACTGAATTTTATATGTTCATGTATCCTGTGACTTTGTTAAACTCACTTGTTTGTTCAAGGAGTGTTCTGTGGATTACTTGGGATTTTCTACATATACATATCACATGCAAATACTAGAATAATAGAATAGTTTTATGTCTTTCTGTGTCTCGCTCCCCTTCACTACATTGCATTGGCTTGGACTCCCAGCATTATGTTAAGTGGTAAGAACAGACATCCTTCCTTGCTTTGTTCCTGATTTCGGGGAGGGGCATCCAGGCTTTATACATTAAAAATATTATCTGTAGGTGAGCCCCCCTTTGGCCAATGCTGTTTTTTCATGTTTAGAAAAGTCCCTTTTATTTCTGGACTTTGAGAATTTTTATCATGGATGGTAAGTTTTGTCAAATGTAACATTTTCTTCCTCTTCATTTTAGAAGTCATGGGAATTTTCTTCCTTATTCTGTTACTACTGTGGATAACACTGATCAGTTGTTGAATTAACCTTGGATGAACCTTGTTGCAACTTGGAAATAAAACCGGTTGGGTCACTTTATGCATTTCTTTTATGTATTGCTGAATTCTAGTTTCTTATATTTTATTAAGGATTTTTGTGTCCATATTCATGAGGGATATTACTTTGTAGTTTTCTGTTTTTATGCCTTTGTCTGTTTTTTCCATCAAGAGAATACTGGCCCCATAAAATTAGTTGAGAATTATTTTCTTTTACTTTCTACAACACTGTAAGCAGCACTAACTTTTTCTTTAAAGTTTTGGTAGAATTCTCCAGTTGTACCATCTGAATCTGAAGATTCTGTTAGAGGAGTTTAAAAATTATGAATTGTAATTTTAAAATAGTTACAGAGCTATTTAAATTTTTTTATACTGATTAAATTCTACTACTTGGTCCTTTTTGAAGCATTTGTCCATTTTGTGTGTCAAATTATTGAACTTATATGTAAGTTGTTTGTAATATTTTGATGTCTGCCCGTTCTAAGTGGTGTCTTATGATCCATTCTTAATGTTGGCAATTTATGTGTTTTTCTCTGTTAATCTTGCTAGAAGCTTATCAGATTATTGATCTTTCAGATAACTAGCTTTTTATTCCCTATTGATTTTGTTTTTCTTTTTGGGGGGATGATGGAAGGTTTTTAATTTTATTGGTTTTTCTGTGTAATTTCCTTGCTTCTGTTTGCTGTAGCTTTTTTGGCTCTTTGGCTGAGTTTTGATTGGAGGGGATTGGACTATTGGCTTGAGGCATTTTCTATTTTCTCTGTGTATATGTAGTGCTATAAATTTCCCTCCCAGCACTGCTTTAGCTGTGACATATTGTATTTTACTTTTTGTTTAACTCAGTGTGTCTTTTGGTTTCTCTTCCTCTGGGTTTCTTAGAAGCATATTGTTTAGTTTTGCGTGTTTGGAGATTTTATTGTTACCTTTTTTGTTGTTGATTTCTACTTTATTTCTGTTGTCCTCAGAGAAAATACTTTGACAATTTCAGATCTTTAAATTTGTTCAGATTTGTTTTGTGGTCCAGGATATAGTCTGTCTTGGTAAATGTTCAGTAGGCATTTGAAAAAATAATATGTGTTCTGCTGTCATTGGTAGAATGTTCTATAAATATTTATTAGATCTTATTGATAGATGTTACTGTTATATTCTGCTGTATTCTTGCTAATGGTTTCTTAGATATATCATTTATTGAGGAGTCTTGCATTTTCTTACTGAAATTGTACTAGGGTTTACCTACAGTTTTTGCTGCATATATTTTAACAGCTTTGTTGATTAGTATATTCACACTTGTGTCATGTTTGTGGATTCTGTTTCATCATTATGTAATGTCTTCCCTCCTTATTCCTGCTAATTTTCTTTGATATGAGGTCTTCTTTATTGATATTAATACAGTTACTCCTCTTTCTGTTGTTTCCATCATATAACTTTTCTGTCCTACTTTCTCGCTCGCTCTATTGCATTTGAGGAATAGTTCGTTCATTTGTTTTTTGAGACACAGTCTTGCTCTATACTTTAGGCGAGCCTTGAACTCACTATATGGCCCAGGCTGGCTTCAGACTCAACAGTCCTGCCTCAGCTTTGCAAGGGCTGGAATTACAGGCATGCGCCACCACACCTGATGAGGGATTGCTTTTATAGTTTTGTAATATTGTTTTACTTTGTTTATTGACATGAAGTTATGAAAGCTCAATTCCAACTGTGAATATTATTCATTTGAAATGCTATTTCTTTTTTTATTACTATTTTGTTTATTCCATATTCATTTACCTACTTCCTACTTACATTCAGAAACCCGAAATATTTATAATTCTTCCTAGTTTTGTTTCTTTTATATATTGTCTTTAAGGGAGAAGTTTTATGGAATTTAAACTTTGAATGTCTAAAAATGTTTTTGGCTATTTATATGAATGTTAATGAATGTTAATTTTCTCAGTATAAAACATGAATGTTAATTTTCTCAGTATAAAAGTCTATGTTTCAAATATTTTTTATCAGATTTTTTGCAGGGAGGGGTACTGGGAATCTAACTCAGGACATTGCGCTTGCTAGGCAGGCATTTATGCCACTGAGCGATACATCCCAAGCCTTCAGATCTTTGAAGTTACAGCGTTTATTGTCTTTTAACATATGGTAGTGATAATAGTCTGATTTTTATAGACAGTTTCTCCCCTCATATCTCAGGTTAAAAATTCAGAAGCAAAGGTTATCCTTAAGTTTTCTATCTTCTTTTTATTTTATTAAGAAGAAGAAGAATACTGTTAGAATCAGGTTGAGTTTAATGATAGTTAAAATGAAAGTTGTTTTGTTTTTTTTTAAAAATGAAGCCTCCTATGCTTCCCAAAAATCTTGTTTGGAAAAAAAAAAAAGGAATGGCCTGCCACAGTTAATTTTTCCTGTTGTCATTCTGCAGAGTTTTCAAATACTTGCATTGAGGAATAACATCCACCTTCCTAAGATGGCAGATCTCTCTCTATTTTGGCTACATTTAAGTTTATATATTTTGAATTGGAATTTGACTTTCTGAAAAAATTGTTTATTAAGTCTTCTCAATGGAACAGTTCAAAATAAAGCTCTTTTTGCGAGGAAATTTGTAATTTTAGATGATGACCTATGTATCTGTTTTATACCTACAATTCTTATCCTGATGTTTCAAAATACCAAGCTGTTTTCTACCTAAATAATAAGTTTAATTAAAAACATATAATAAATTACTTTAAAACTATATTGTATCCTCCACTACCTGTTTATTTAGTGAAAAAAAATTTTTTTTAAACTTAGATTTTGTGTGGACAGTAATGACCTCACGTTTCCGATTGCCTGCTGGCAGAACCTACAATGTACGAGCATCAGAGTTGGCCAGAGACAGACAGCATACAGAGGTGGTTTGCAACATTCTTCTTCTGGATAACACTGTCCAAGCTTTCAAAGTTAATGTAAGTACTTTATCTCCTCCTCCACATCTTCTCATTGTCATCATCATCATCATCATCTCTGGTTATTATTCTGAATTTATATATTAAGACTAGAGCCATTAAATTATGGCCAGTTAGAAATGCCTTATTCAATTAAAGTCTTCGATGCAGATTTGTATTAGATACATGTGTCACTGGCTAGAGTGGGTCCTTACTTTACTGACATGGAAACTAAAGTGACAGTGTAAATTTACAGGAAAAAGCCCTAATTGGGAAGTCTGAGAAAAGATAGGGAAAGGACTCCAATTTGAGTATTAGCCAGACAGGGCATACATACACTGAGGATCAGACTTGGAACCAAATTTTTTTTTTTTTTTTTTTGGATTTTTCTCCGGTACCAGGAACCGAACTCACGACCTTGCGCTTGCCAAGCAGGCGCTTTTGCCGCTGAGCTAAATCCCCAGCCCCCAGACTTGGAACCGAATTTAAGGATTAGCTGAGGTGGCTGAGGTCTGGTCAATCATTATCTAGTTTCCTACCTCAGACTGAATCCTTATGACTGGAGGGAAAATTAATTTTCCATGGGAGGAATCCTCCTGACTTGAGGGGCAGTTGTATGAGTTTCTTCCTGAATCCAAAGTCATAATGAATGTCCCTGTAAATCTTTCTATCTTGGTGTCTTCAGTCTTGAAGGGTAATGAATTTAGGCCTAATGAATTTGTTTTGGCAACTTTTAGGCAGACACTCCCTGAGTGACTAATGCGTATGTGCAGAGCCAGAAGGATTTGCCTCAGTTCTACAAAATGAAGGCCAAGCTTTGTTCTGTTTTCAGCTACTTATTTTAACCTATATGTAAGTCCAAGAGTTACGATTTTTAGCAAAAACTACTTTTTAAGTCTCTGCCTCAAAAGAAGATGAACAACAGGTTAAGGGCACAGGAGTAGATCCTTTGTCCCTATGGTGGTCTCTGACTATGTCATAACTATGTTACATGTTTTTATTCAAACTAGGTCTTTAAAAAAGTGTTGTGTATTTGGATACTGTTGACAAACCAGCCCTGCATTATGGTTAGTAGAGCAGGTAAATAGTTACGTGAGTGGTTTTTATAAATGTTGCTTCAGGTTACCTGAAAGGAATTTGTTCTCCTAAATAATTTATACATTTCCATTTTAATCTGACTTGCACCTGTAAAGCTTTTGCTATACAAGGATAAATGACACCAGTGATCTTATCTAAGTATTGTCTGAAACATTTATTCAACAGATACTGTACATTCTGTTTGTCTGGCTTCATTTGCTCATTGTTACTTGTGAGTTTTACCCATGTGACGTATTAATAGTATTTCCTTTTCTTTGCAGAATATAGCACAGTTTATACATTAACTTAATTTTTGTTTACTTGTTCAGCCACTATTGGTATATGTCTGGGTTGTTTTGACTTTGGGCACTCATAGGGTTGCTGTGAATATCCACAAGGAAGTACCCCTATCCCCTTTTTATTTTTAACATTTGAAACCTATAGAAAGTGAAAAAATAGTATAATGGATACCCATATATCCTTTACCCAGATTGGCATGGTATTAACTTTTATGCATTTGTTTTATGTTACTTTCTATATGGTTTCGTATGTTTTTTTTTTTGTGACCTTTCTGAGAGTAGTAGACTTTACCTATGAGTACTTTAGCATCCTAAGAATCTCCTAAATTATTAGTACAATAACATTATCACATCCCCAAATTTGAAAATTAATGGAAAGAACAGTATCTAAATCATGTGTTTTGTATTGTAATACTGGGAAGTTTCTATACTGGAATCTTTAAGTAATATAAAATACTAAAGCTTTTACCTATCAGTTGCTTTTTTTACCCCCTCCAGTACTAGGGGTTGAATCCAGGGCCTTCACACTGATTTACATCCACAGCCTCTTTTTTATTTTTAACTTGAGACTATATTGCTCACTGAGCTTGAATTTATTTATTTATTTATTTATTTATTTATTTATTTTTGTCTTTTTTTGGTTTTTCTCCGGTACCGGGAACTGAACTCACGACCTTGCACTTGCCAGGCAGGCGCTTTGCCGCTGAGCTAAATCCCCAGCCCCGTCAGGCATATGCTGTTGTGCTCCATTTATTTACCATTTCTTAAACGTAACTTTTTTAGTGTATTATGATATAGCAGGATCAGTAATTTATCCTTTTTTATCTCAAATTCTAAGCCATTTTATACTGGAAAAGGGGTTGCAGAGTAAAGGAAGTTACATTAGTAAAATACCTTTGAGGACATTTTTTTTGTTTGGTTTTTTGGTTTTTTTCCGGTACCTGGAATCAAACTCACGACCTTGCGCTTGCTAGGCAGGTGCTGTGCCGCTGAGCTAAATCCCCAGCCCCAAGGAAATTATTTAACAGATACAACAATTGTGCTTTTTGAAAATGTTCAACTTTTAGCTTCTTTGGATTGTCTTTATCTATTAGTAGATAACTGGAGTATAGGTTGTCCAGCAGAAATAATCTGAAATGAGGGGGATTATGTTTCAAAAAGACTTCTGAAGAATAGAAACTCATGTATTAGATAATTGATATAAAAATAAGCCTTTTTTCCTCATTAGACTCATTAGAATTCTTTTGGGGGGCATAACTCTTGTTTTAAATTCATATTAGTTAATAATTTAGTTTTCATATTAATTTGCAGTTATTTGAAAATATTGTAAAAGGATTTGCTTCATTTCCCATCTATCGTATTTTTTACTTAACTGCCAGTTCCAATAGAGATGATTATATTGCTAGAATGGCAAGTACTGTGGTGCTAGAACTGTTCTCTGCTATTATCTCAGGTAATCAAAAAACTTAGAGGAACAATATTTGTGAGAAGTTGCCTGTGGACATGTAGGAAGACATTTATGTCTCTGAATATTTGGATCTAAGTCATTCAAACCGAGAGTTGCTTTGTACTTCTGTGTAAATTGTGCATATTTTAATCTATGTGCAAAGCTTCCCAGTTATGCACCTTATAATTTTGCATTGGTATGTGGCAACCAGCAAATTCATTGGGGATTTGAGAGTCTGGTCTTGATTTTCTCATGCTCATTTAGTACCAGTAAGTCTCAGAGATCTTCATTGTGAGCTGCTGCCAATTCACCAGCATCTCTCTATTCACTCAGTTTTTGAAAATGACCAAGCAGTGATTTAAAACATCAACCATAGGAGTCATTGCTTTTCTAAAAGAATTTTGCACCACAGTTGAACATGTTTTTAAATACTTTAAAATATATAGTACCCCTACTGTATAGATTGATTTCTTTAACCTTTGAAGATTTTTGGCTTTACTTTTACTTTGGTATAATGGGTTAACAGTAACTTGTATGACAAGTTAGGACCAGAGAGAACCCTACCCTATTTGAGTTACTACTATTATTACATAAGAAATTGCTTCAAAACTTAGTGGCAGCCATTTAATATCCTCAAGGATTCACACAGAGAGAGATGGCTTTTATCTCTTCCATTACATGTTAATTAGGCTTCAGCTGGAAGAGTTAACATTTGAAGGCTTATTCATTCCTATGTCTGATACCTAAAACTTCAGCTGGAGCTAAAATGTTTATATCATGCATGGCCTTTCTATACCTTACATTTCTTCATAATGCATTGCATAGCTGGTTTCCAGGGCTGAACATTATCAGAGAGGGAGACAGGATGTAGCTGTATTGCCTTTTTTCAGCTGAACTTGGAAGTAATGTGTTACGGTTTATGTCTGTGTGTCCCCTCCAAAGCCTCATGCGAGCATGGGGCAGGCTATTAGAGTTGAATGATTGTGGGTGTGAGAGCTACACCCGCCCTGGGGTGCATAGTTTGCATATGTAAGGGAGAGGAAAAGAGTGCTTGAGGATTTTCCTCCCCCATTCCGCCCTGGTGTGTGGTTGTTGCGGAGCAGTGCTCTGCCGTCCTGAGCCGTTGCCATGTGCCACTCTGCCTTATAATCTGCCAAGTACAGACTGAAACTTCCATGAACTGTAAGCAAAATAAACCTTTCCCTCCTTAATTTTGGGCATCAGGTATTTTGTTCCAGCAGCGAGAAAAAAGTAACCAAGACATCATGCAATGTTACTTTTACCATATTGTTTGTTAAGGCTATCACAGAATCACATTCAGAGTTAAGGTAAATAGCTTGTCTCTTAATGTGGAGGATCATGTGGGGTCAGAAATACTACTGTGGACTTACTGGGGAGATGCTGCCTTTCAGTATGGCCAGCTAGTGGAGGCATCCATTTTGTCCTGACCTGTCCACATAATTGGACCTGTCTGTGTTCTACCTCCATTATAATGATTTGTCTTTTTCTTTCTTTTTCTTTCTTTCTTTGCTTCCTTCCTTCCTTCCTTCGTTCCTTCCTTCTTGCCTTCTTGCCTTTTTTCCTTCCTTCCTTTCTTCCTTCCTTCCTTCCTTCCTTTTTGGTACTGGGAATCGAACTCAGGACCTTGCACTTGTCAGGCAGGCACTTGTGCCTTTAAGCTATGTTCCCAGCCCTCCGTTATAATTAGAATTTTCCTTCCAGAGCTGTGTTTTACTTGTTTGCTGTATGTGTTGCTTGGATTATTTATTGAGGTGTGTTATACTTATAAAAATATGTATGTATACATATACATATATTTTAAAATTTGACTTATTTTATATGTATATGCATGTGTGAGTAATGACACATATATACATGCATAATTCTACCTGGAAAAACTGAAAAAATACTCAAAATTTATGATAGTTTATTCAACATACATTATTCAGTGTACAATTCAGAGAAATTTCATACATTGAAGTATTTCAAGAATGAGAACAGAGTTTACGGATTGAGGATTTTTATTTTTATCTGTATTACATTTTTCTTTAGCTTACTTTTTAGAAATAAAATTATTAAAAATATACTAAGTAGTTCCTTTCTTCTGTGTCTCTATATACTGAATAAAGGATAACTGATATGTATAGTTTTTTGATGATGCCAGTACTTTAGTTGTTAGTAAATGATACAGTAAAGTT